AGGGTGTTCAAAATCTCCGTTTTTATCTGGCGTGGACTGCTTGACTCCTTCCCCCCACCCCCCCGGGCGGAGCATCTCACAATGGGATGGGGAGTCGTGAGGCAGTTCCTTGATGGGCCATTAACAGGAGAGAGTCCAGGAGCGAGTTATCGATGGGTCAGGCGATAAGGCATTGTTGTGCCCATTAACAGGAGATAGTCCAGAGGGGGGAGGCAGGGAGCACCGCCCCACCTGGTCTCAACAGCTCCTGAAGATGGTAATAGAATTTTTTTTTTTTTTCCTTTTGGCACATTTTACACTGTAACCCAGGACAATAACCATTGTAATAGCCAGCTTCAGAGGCTACCATAGCTTCTTTTACAAGTGTTAGAAGATAATTGAGCGCTCTGATTGAAATCGATGCCTGGTTTTAACTGATAGAAGTTAACTGACAGAGGCTAAAATAAAATAAGCGTTCAGATGGTACATTTGTAAAATATAAGCTTGTCACTTGTTGGAGTGAACCCCTTTGAACTACTGAGTAACCGTAATTTTTTCTGTACTGGTGATTTTGTATGGAAATATAGCAATATGTTTTTCTTCTGTTAATAATGATCTGTTTGTTTCCCTTTTTTTCTCCTCCAAAACAAAAATAATCATAAACAGTTAAACTCCTATTATACCACATTTATTTCCGAGGAATATTTTCATTATTAGATTTGTTTATCATTGCCTTTTAGACAACTGTATTTAGCAAATTCACAAACCGTTTTCCCTAACAGCTGCTATTTGCTTGCTTAAAATGTTGAGCTGTAGTGGAACTGCCATCTCCCTTGGCAGTCTGCTGACAGGCATTTTGTACTGGTTGGCCTCTGTTGGTGTAAGTGGTTTTTGTCCTCATATGCTCATGAAATGTTCCCTATTTCCCCATCAGATTATTGCACTGACAGGATGGCTCATATGATTACCCTTTATCTCTTTCGATGAGAATGAGCCAGGTGAGCAAAGTGCAGTGTTTAAACTAACCCAGTTCGTTTTTGAACAAACTGAGCTAGGGAGTAATCATATTGCCAGTTCAGTCAGGAGATACAGTGGAGAATAACCTTTTACAAGGGTAAAAATTGAGAGTTAGGGAGGAGATGCTAATCTGTGGATTGAACTGTAGAAGTTTATTCACATAGACAGCTGATGCAGGTAAATCCCAGGTAGTACAGATAATTGCAAAGCAATGCAGTCTGAAGAATAAAAAAAAAAAAGTTCCATATAACAAAATACACTTAGTTACCTCTGAAGAATAGTCTTTGTAATGGTTGCATTACTCCTGAGGAAATTTTTTTTCTCCTTATATACGCACTTCAATAATAATGTATTATTTCAAATACTGCTTTACTTTGAGGGAATGATGAAACTAATTCAAAAAAGCAGCACTACACATCTTGTATCCATAAAAATAACTCTTCCTTTGAAATAAGAACATTGCAGAAAATTAAGTGTTGGCTACTTCAGCTACACCCACAGTTGTGTAGATTTTATAGAGAATATTGTTGCAGATAATGTTTTTTATGGATCTTTTTTGTAATTTAGCTATTTACTTAAGAATATAATAATTGAACGTCTCAGCTGAACAGAAAGACAGTGCATGGTGATAGCAGCATTGATTTTTAGCTGGTTAGTCGACAAAATTGATGTGGTTAGGTTTTGCAATTATTGCTGGTCTGTGTATGTAAATTTATAATAAAAAGTAGATACTCAGGGCTCATAAAGGGCTGAAGCTTTTTTCATTATTTTTTTTTAAAAATGCTTGTTACTTACAAATGACATGTTTAAATGATTTTAACTTTCTAACAATTTCTAAGCACTTCTAACACTTTTTAGAACTTGAAGTGCTGCGCTATGCCCCACCTCTGAATGCCAAGTTCTGCTAGCAGCCAGTCCCTAAAGAGAGTGCTGACTTGCACTGCAGCTATCGAAAGAAATGGTTGACTTCAGTGACCTTCTGGTCTGACAGACTCTCTTCTGGCTGTAGTTGTTTTTGTTGTTGAATTCATGCTTGTTTAGGGCCACAATTCTGTTGAAATAAGTGGCAAAGCTTTCTGTATTCAGAGACAGGAAAATCAGACGCTGTTTTCTGGAAATGCAAACCTTAGAATTTATGTATTTTACTGATGATAAGCAGGATTTCAGCACCAACTAATATCTGCTTTAGTATGAACTAACAATATATCCCCTATGTGTTAATTGTATTCCCCTCTGCTTGTAACTACTTTAACTGTATGTTTTACTCGTGCTTAGGGGCTCCATCCTGCAGCTGCTCAGCATATGGTAGTCCTGTAATCTTCATGGAAACTTTATATACAAAATCGCTATAGGAGGTATTCTAATTTTTCACTGCTTGGATAAGAGCAGGCCTTTTTTTCACCTGCTAATTGTAGAATGTTTTCCCTATAAACAGTTATTTTATAAACTTCAAATACTGTAAATGATCTCCTCAGACTGCTTCTCCAAAACCGTGTATTTGTAATTCTCTGTCACTGTGTAGATCCATTAGGGCAGATCTGCCCACAGGTACAGCATGTGCGCAGGTTGCACAGCTTAGTTTCCTTACTTGTTCCAAAATAAATGAAAATGTTGCCAGTGGCAGACCAAGTCTGGCAGCTACAAAACGGCCTCTTCAGTTCCTTTGGATCACCAACAAAGCCCAATGCTACAATATATCAACATTTTACATAGTATTTTAATGAGCTATCCCGAGCTAAATTTTGTATTTTAATTTCTAATTTCCAGCTGGCAGCTCATGTTACTTTAACGTTGGCAACAGTTACTTTACCAGTGAATGTTTATGGCCTGCAGCAAGTGTTGAAGAACAGCATATAAACCTCATTGTCCCATCTTGAACTTGAATACATAGAGAAGACAATACAATCCTTTCCTCCCTATTTGCCTATTATGTCCTCGTAGGATTAACCTGGAGATGTGCCACAAAAAACATAGATATGCTATTCCAGTGCTTCCTTTTATTTAGTAGGTTGTCCAGTTTTTCCTGAGTTTGCATGTGTGAGTGTTTTTATCTGGAAACAATCAAATGTGAATTATCCTGTTTTTTTGGAATGCCCGTGTGTTATTGTTCAGAAACTGGCTGACCATATTAAGTCCGTATTAAAGCTTTTATAACTGCCATGAGAATCCCTAATTGCAGTTTTATCTGCATTGCTAATAATAGACCCGTGCAATTTTGCTAAAAAAAGAAAAAAGTCAAAGTGGCATATTTCAGATCACCTAAATTTAAAACATACGTGGATGATGGTTTCAGAGCCCAGTCCTGTAAACTCTTAAGCACATGCCTTTATTAATGTGACTGCATTAATATGTGTTCATTGTATGTAACTTGATTAAGACCGAAATTTTACATATACCTAACTGTTTGAGTGATTAATTCTAATTTGTCATTTATGACAAGGCAGAAGTTCTGGCTTTTAAGACTTGTATTCCCTGTGGCCTATCAAAAATTGAGTTTTCCCAACTGGCAAAAATTTTCCTGATCTAACATTGTTGCATAAGATGTTCGGTTCTGTTTTCTAGATACTTTCAATTTTGCCTGGAAGTGCCTTATGGTCATTTAGCTAAGTTATGCTCTTACTGGCTTCAACTAAATCTGGAATATTCTTGAAGTGGAAGAAGAGTATCCACATAAGGGATTAACATTCATTTAGTTAAGGAGAGTCCTTAACCAAAATATTAAAATTGCCATCATTTTTGTAAAACTCTGGTAGGAGTTCCTAGGCTTTGGGCAGTCCCTTGAGCTGACAACAGCAGTCTTCCCCCATGAGCCAGCTGTGGGCCCTTGCTGCACTTGCCACTGGTGCCTGCTTGTCCCTATGACTTCTCTGGCCTTGCTGCTGCTGCATCTTCTTCCACGCCACTCCTGAGTCAACTCTTGGGACTTTGTCCCACAGTGGGTGCAGCATTCAGAGGCATGACCATTGTCTCTGTGCAGCAGGGCTTATTTTGGAGTACTTCATGCCACAGAGGAATTATCTTGTGCTTGTGCCTTGGAAGTCCTGCATGACCTAGGGGCACACAGTGCCTGGGTGGCAGGCTGACCTGGTTGGGTGAAATGTCTGTCAGCTGTACAAGAGCTAAAAAACACTTGTAAAGTGAGGGTTGTAGGAGAGAGAACAGGTGATGGAAGTTGTTGTAAAGCTGTCACATCTTTTTTTTTCTGGATGGTAAATCCTCTCCTAGGAACTTCAGTATGTGATTCCAAGCAGAATGAAACTTCGTTGATGTATGACTGATTGTTTATTTTCATGAGCATAGCATGAGATAATAGAAGAGTGTTAACAGTCCTCAGTCTGGAGGAAAAAAACAAAACAAAACAAAACAACCTCAGTGCATCTCCAGGCAATAGAATTACAGTATTTTTAATGCTTCTGTCAATTTTATGCCACTGTGACAAGTCAGTGTGCTGAGTTACTGCTGGTTAGTCTGCTGCATGTAAGAGGATACTGATCAAAAACAGTGTGTGTGGAAATAAGATCTTAAAATGTTAACACAAAAGAACTGTAAGCTGAATTTTCATCACTTTGGGATTGATTTTTTTTGTGTGTGTGTGGATGAATTTTTCTAATAATTCAGTCTATTACTTTAAATTGGATTTTTTGCCCTGTCTGTCTTTATACAGATCAGATCCCATTCCCAGTTTGGTGATCTTTGCCAGAGAGCCACTGCTGCTTCGTGCTGTCCCAGCTGGACACTGGGCAACTATATTGCTATTCTAAACAACAGGTCATCATGTCAAAAAATTGTAGAACGGGACGTCTCGCACACCCTAAAGCTGCTTCGCACATGTGCCAAATACTACTACAATGGAACCCTGGGGCCGGACTGCTGGGATATGAATGCCAAAAGGAAGGACCAACTCAAGTGTACGAATGTGCCTCGCAAATGTACCAAGTACAACGCTGTTTACCAGATCCTTCACTATCTAGTGGACAAGGATTTTCTAAGCCCAAAGACAGCTGACTATGTCTTACCAGCTTTAAAATACAGCATGCTCTTCTCTCCGACTGAGAAAGGGGAAAGCATGATGGGTATTTACCTAGATAACTTTGAGAACTGGAACGCTTCTGACGGTGTAACCACCGTCACAGGGATTGAGTTTGGAATAAAACATAGGTTGTTTCAAGATTACCTGTTGATGGATACTGTGTATCCTGCCATAGCCATTGTAATTGTTTTATTAGTTATGTGTGTATACACAAAGTCCATGTTTATCACGCTGATGACTATGTTTGCAATAATTAGTTCCTTGATTATTTCTTATTTTCTCTATCGGGTAGTATTTAATTTTGAGTTCTTTCCATTCATGAATCTCACGGCATTGATTATTCTTGTTGGGATTGGAGCAGATGATGCTTTTGTCTTATGTGATGTTTGGAACTACACAAAATTTGATAAACCTCATGCTGGAACTTCTGAGACAGTGAGCATCACGTTGCAGCACGCTGCTCTTTCCATGTTTGTCACAAGTTTTACTACCGCTGCTGCCTTCTATGCTAATTATGTCAGCAATATCACAGCAATCAGGTGTTTTGGTGTTTATGCTGGCACTGCTATTTTGGTGAATTATGTTTTGATGGTTACGTGGCTACCTGCTGTAGTTGTATTACATGAACGATATCTTCTCAGTATTTTCAGTTGCTTTAAGAAACCTCAGCAGAGAGTATACAACCACAAAAACTGCTGGACAGTGTTGTGCCAAATGTTCCACAAGATTATTTTTGCAATCTCAGAAGCATCCAGGATATTTTTTGAAAAAGTTTTGCCATGCATTGTTATCAAATTTCGATATATTTGGCTTTTCTGGTTCCTTGCCTTAACAATTGGTGGAGCATATATCGTGTGTGTAAACCCAAAGATGAAATTGCCGTCACTGGAGCTCTCCGAGTTTCAGGTATTTAGGTCTTCTCACCCATTTGAACGATATGATGCAGAATACAAAAAGCTATTTATGTTTGAACGTGTCCACCATGGAGAAGAGCTCCACATGCCGATTACGGTAATCTGGGGTGTCACACCTGAGGATAATGGTGACCCTTTAAACCCTAAAAGTAAAGGAAAGCTGCAGCTAGATAGCAGTTTTAATATTGCTAGCCCAGCTTCACAGGTTTGGATTTTACGTTTCTGTCAGAAGTTAAGAAATCAAACATTTTATTATCAGACTGAAGAACAAGACTTCACAAGCTGCTTCATTGAAACATTTAAGCAGTGGATGGAAAACCAAGACTGCGATGAGCCATCTCTTTACCCCTGCTGCAGCCACTGGAGCTTTCCATACAAACAAGAAGTTTTTGAATTATGTATCAAGAGAGCTATAATGGAGCTAGAAAGAAGCACAGGGTATCATTTAGATAGTAAAACCCCAGGGCCTCGCTTTGACCTAAATGACACCATCAGGGCAGTGGTGTTGGAGTTCCAAAGCACCTACCTCTTCACGCTGGCTTATGAAAAAATGCATCAGTTCTACAAAGAGGTGGACTCATGGATTTCAAGTGAGCTTAGTTCTGCTCCTGAAGGTCTTAGCAATGGTTGGTTTGTGAGTAACCTTGAGTTTTATGATCTTCAGGACAGTCTTTCTGATGGTACTCTGATTGCCATGGGTCTTTCAGTTGCCGTTGCGTTTAGTGTAATGCTTCTTACAACTTGGAATATAATTATAAGCCTTTATGCAATAGTTTCAATAGCTGGAACTATTTTCGTCACTGTGGGTTCTCTGGTTCTTCTTGGATGGGAGCTAAATGTGTTAGAATCTGTCACTATTTCGGTGGCTGTTGGCTTGTCTGTAGACTTTGCTGTTCACTATGGGGTGGCTTATCGCCTAGCTCCTGACCCTGACCGAGAAGGAAAAGTCATTTTTTCTTTAAGCCGTATGGGTTCTGCTATTGCAATGGCTGCATTGACTACGTTTGTAGCTGGAGCAATGATGATGCCCTCTACAGTGTTGGCATACACGCAGCTTGGCACTTTTATGATGCTTATAATGTGCATTAGTTGGGCATTTGCAACATTCTTCTTCCAGTGCATGTGCCGATGCCTTGGACCCCAGGGCACTTGTGGCCAGATCCCACTACCAAAAAAATTGCGATGTAATGCCTTCTCTCAGACCTTTTCAGGAGCCCAAGGAGGCAGAGGTCAAAATAAATCGCATCCTGGTAGCAAATACCAGCTGGACTCCAGAAGTCAAAAACCAGAAATGGAGCATGAGCACTATGAGCTCGAGCCTCTGGCATCACAGACGGGTATCTGTAACCCTGCGGAGAAAGTGACTTACGAAGAAACTCCTATCTGCTCGGAGCTCTTCAGCAGCAGGCCCCAAAACACATGTATGCCTTTGCATTCAGCCTATAATAGTGAAGTGAGTAAAAGCATAAAAAATGTTGCTAGTTCAGCTGTGCTACAGACATCTGTTGACCAACACACCATATGCCCGATTTTCTCTCAGAACAGGCAGTGTAGCTGTCCTGATGCATATAAGCAAGTGGCAGTGAAGTGGAATCCACACTCATGTCATCAGTTAAGTGACACCTTCTGTTACCAGTGTTCTCCTTCACCGGGAACCGTACAGATCCAAAGCTCTGTAGCTCCTATAAGTGCTTTACAGCAAGCTGCCGAAGGTTACGTGCATCCGGTCCAGCATGTCCTCCACTGCAGTTGCCTTCAAGGAAGGCTCAAAAGAACGATGACGCAGAACTCTCTGCCTAAAAATTTCTTCCTCCAGTCCGTGCAACAGTTTCAGGCACATCAAAGAATAAATAGGATGGATTCACATGCTCATCAAAACCCAGAGGAAAGCGTAAGAACTGTTCCAAAGGTGATGAGCTCCTCACAGTTTCTCTGCCGAAACGCAGGACCTCTGATAGTGCGTTGCTCTGAATGTGAGAACAGTGTATCAAATAACCAAAAGGGATTCTGTCAGCAGACGGGCAAGTGTGATGAAAAGGGTGGTACAGAAGCGAATGGGGTTGAAAGCAAGAAAGCCTCTCTGTCAAAGCACAAAAAGAAAGCTGAGAGCAAGCTAGATCAGCGTTCTTTGCAGAATGACCGGGTTTTGAAGGCTGACCAAAATGATAAAAAACATCTGCTGAATAGGTCAGTGAGAGAGGCTCGCTACGAGGGTTGCCATGAAAATTCCCACTGTTGTAGCAAGGCTATCGCAGTGAAGTGCAATTCTGTTGACTGTCAAATGCCAAACATCGAAGCCAATGTGCCTCCTATGTTAATGCGTCCAGAACTTTCCAATGAAAGTTTGTTAATAAAAACACTATAATAAATCTTTAATTTGGCAATTCTGTGTCTTTCTTTTAAAAGTAAGTTTAAAATGCTAAAAAGGAAAGTCCTGAATAAATATGAATTATAATTTGCATTTTGGAATGAGAAGTGTATTTTATAGAATAGTAACATTTATACATTTCATAAAGCCATTACATGTAGTAAAACCTGACGTTGTCCAGAATGTTTTTGGGTTGTTTTTTTTGCTGTAACTCATAAGGTGTATTATGCTTAATTTAGTTTTTGTCCCAGGGGATTAGAGCTTGAGTCCTCCTTATAAACCATCTCAAGGAGTAAAGCATTACAACAAAACTCTCCCTTTTCTGAAGCCAGGGCTTGTGAGATGGGTAACGTTTGGAGTGGGCTGAGATTGCCACATTTTCCAAGTACCTCATTTACCTTTATTCTCCCGCTGCCTTGGCAGGCTTGCGCGCACCTTTAGCGGCAGGGCAGTAACTGTGTTTGTTCAGGATTGTCTGAAAGACCAGCTCTGCAGGGTAGCCTGTTTGGGGAGTGTTTTTAACTATTTAGCCTAACAAAATCTAAAGAAAAGGTCTTGGAGGTCAACAGCACTTGTACCACCATTGTTGCATATCTGTGTATATAGTGTAGTAAAAAGTTTTAAACTGCCCTTCCTGGCAGTTACTCTGTAGACTTCACCATTTAATACCAGAGAAAACAGGTGGAAACAATAATATGTGAACATGACTTCCTTCTCAGAAAAGCATAATTCATGTGTATGACACATGTATGTGTATAAAATCAGGAGTTACAAAATTTGGCACGAAGTGCCTTGCGGTACTGAACTTTTTCCCACAAAGTATGGAAATTAGAAGTAAATCTGCTATGGAGAAAGGCATAGTTAATGTACATGTTCTAGACTTACTGTCAATAGTATCAGATTAAGTCAATTCAAAAGGCTCAAGTACACAAAGTAAAATACTGTGCTCTGAGTTTTCTTACCCAGAGCAGTTCCAAGATGTAGTTACAAATACTGAACTAAACCACGTAACCAAGACATTGGATTTGTGCAACTACAGGGTTTAATCAAATAACAGTTATGGTTTGGTCATGGGAATACTTGCTGGTCTCATCATTCAGGGAGAGGGGATATGAGAGCTAGAACTGTGTAGTATGTCATTATTGCTATGCACCTTAATGACAAATCTCTTTTCATATAATCGTTCGGTTATGCTGATTATGTTGATTTACTATACACAGATAACAGAGGATAGATTTCATGGACTGATGTGGTATCGTGTACTTGGTGTGTTATGAATCACTGGAGGAAAAGCCTGGCTTTTTCTGTTCTAGTGTTCATGTTGAGGGATGTAGAAGATCAGTATCATGCAACAGACCACTTTGGTTTGTCTGGCAGTAGTGATCTTAGTGCTTATACATCCCAGGGACTGGAACAGAATAAGAGGTTGAAATTTACAGAAAAAGCTGAAATATTTTTGCATGGTTTAAGAACAGTAGCATTTTTTCTTAGCTACAAAATAAAACTCAACTTTTGGTTCTTTTAAAACTCATAACTCCATTTAGAGCCAGCTTCTTTCTAAATGTTTGTAATGAGAGCAATCCAAGGATTTTCTGTGCACCGTAGAGGCTATTGATTATAAAGAGCTAAGACTTGCAGTGCCAGCATTCTACAGAAATTAAAAGGGCTAAGAAGTAAACTGGGCTGTTGCTGTTGCGCAGCTTTCTTCCTGACCGCTGCACCTGCTTGAGCGCGGTTTCTGTGAGGGATGTGTGTAACACGCTAAGCAATAAATGGTTCCTGAAATAAAAACATTATGATAGTTTAATTGACCTGCAGTCAGACCTTGCCAAAGCAGTGCGTAATGCTTATGTAGTGCCTGTCACATCACAGCCTTCACAGCTGCGCCTTTGAGACATGGGCCTTAGGGGAGGTCCCCAGCTAATGCATCTACAGAACATAGGACGTTTTGAGCTGGGGAGCTCCAAATTGAGGGGTTTTTCTAAGCCCGCTTTCCACAACTGCATTCTGTACAAGGAAACCCCTTCCGACTACTCTACTTTAATAACTGCTTTTATAATGGTGAGGTAAGTGATAAAGACTAACGTTGCATTTTTGTTAAGATTCGTATATTCTTAAAGGCTGATACAGTAAAAAAACGGGGCAGATAAGGAGTTGTGACGTAAGGTACTCTTAGATTAAAATGAGCTGATGTACTTGGCTAGTGAATGGTATCACTGTTGTATTTGCCTTTTGTGACTTTGCCGTTGCCTCCCTGCTAACTTGTTTATTCTTTCCAAATCGCTCACCTGGACAAGGAGCAATCATTGAAATAGATAAGTTTAATATTTATGTATGTAGCACCACGTGTGTGTGTGTGTGTGTGCAGCATCTGTGTCAATTCATGCATAGACTCTCAAATCTAAGCCAGTACAACTCCTGGAGGGAACAGGAGTTTGTTCCAGTGACAGTTGAAGGTTGATGAGGCTATGCATTACTCTATCCCCAGAAAATTCCTGAGAAAAAACTTAAATATTAATAAATAAGTTTTTACAGGCTGCTAGGAGCAAGCAAGGAGAGGTGGGATCCTGTTCCACGGACTGTTACATCCTACTGAGACACCTCTCTGATAGTTGCCAATGATTGCCGAGTCCCAGGGGAAGCTGATGAGCCTCGAATGCTCTAATTTCCATTAACTGATTTGTGCTCTCACTCAGGTCCTCCCTTGCGCTGGGATCGCATAGTGACTCTGGGTGTGTGCAGCCACGCTGGCTAAGTGTGATGCTTCTCCTGCAGGCTGCCCACGTCGGGTAAGGGCCCTGCCACTGACGCTGGCTAGCACTCCCTCCGTGAAGTGCCAAGGTCCTGGCTTTAGAAGATGTAGAGCTTAATTTCTATGGATAATCCAGGCTGGGGCATTTACCAAATTGAGCAGGGCATTTAGTAATTGTTCTGGCAGTGCAGTGATGACACGTGTAGCTTGGGACGTGACGGACGAGCTTTCTGTCTTTTCAAAGCCTAGGAAAGACTATGTCACTTGTATGTGCTGTGAGTCTTCAAAGTGACATCTCTTTGATTATCCAAAGGAGGAAAGAGAGACTTTATGTGGGAAGACAATGATCTGTTTGTTGCTCTGAAGTTGCTAGTACGCTTTCTTCAGGAATAAAGAATACAATCCAGAATCTTCCTGGGAGTGGGACTTGAACCTGAGACCAACTCTCGCAAATTCACCTCACCTGGGGAAAAAAATTGTTTTTAACGTATTAGATAGTGATTAGTTTAACAAAAAATGATACAATAATTTAGAATAAGTCCTTAAAAAAGTTACACCAGGCTCAATATATAAGCACTTGGAATGCAGCTACCTCATACAAAGCATTGATGGATGGGTAGGTAGCTGATACAGTAACATAAAGGGGTTTTTAAAGTTGCTGTTTCATTGTTTGTGTTTTTGAAGAAATCCACCTTTTTTACAATCACCTGCAATCACTTGAATTTGATCTTTTTTATCTAATGTGGGAGAATTGCTTTGAAATGCTTTGGATTAGGAACACCTCTAATTTTTCCGGGTGGAGCCCTGGCAGTCAGTCCAAGAGACTGCTAAAAATACAGGTTGACAAATGACAAAAATTTTAGCACTGTAAGAAATGTCAAATGTGATCAAAATTGAATATATTTTATTTATATAAAGAAAGTTATACGACTTAATATAGGTAGCATATGGGTGATTCAGGCTAAAATCACACTGACTTCATTGAATTGGACCTTAAATTTTTTCCACATGCTGGTAAGCTATATTAAATTTTACTTCTGCCAATAATACCTGAAGTGCCTGTACATCCAGCATTTGATTTACGGTGGTGAGTTGGGACACCATACTGCTAAGCATTGCATATTCCCACAGTGTGAAACAACACTTGCCTTTGCAAAAAAAACCCAGTCTATGTAAGTAAGAGAGGTTGCAAGAAAGGAACTCTGAGTTCATAAGAGATCTCCGCAGAGTCCTGGATTTGGGTCCAGCGTTGCTATCGCAGAACTACCCTCACCTTAACGTTTTTATCCTTTGACTGTTTATTCTGTACATCGTCATCAGTCATTCCACCTCTGTATATCTCACAGGTTCACTCACTTCACCAGAATAAGGTCTCTGAGGTCTGGAGAGCCTGTAAAATAGATCATGCACAGCTTAGAGAGGCTGCAGTGTTTACATACTACCATGCTGTAACTTCTGAATACTAAGTAGTCTTACACATTGAGGAGACTGACTTTTCTGTTTCCCTTTACTTGGCAGCTTGTATTTGGGGTGTTTTTTCTAAGGTCTCCACATTAGAAAGTTGCAGAGACTTAGGTGCTCCTGGAGACACATAATTTTCACTTGATTCCTGAAACGTATTAAAGGTAATAGGTCCCACTTGGGTTTGGACTCCATTTTTTTAGGTTTTGATAAATGTCACTTTACCTGCAAATGTATAGACATACTCCAGAGAAGCAGCTGGTTGTTGCTTTTATTTAAATTCTCTTAGTTAAAAATGTGTGTTGAGTCTCGTTCCCAAACCATTAAAGTTAATTAAAACCGATGATGATTTGTCGTCTTAAAAGCAGCAGGGATTACGTGTGTTCTCTTGCTGCGGGCAGGCCACAATGATGGTAGTGTTAGAAGTTGAACTCTTCCAGCAATGAGTTTTTAGAGCAGATGAATGCCTTTGCTTTGAGGCCTAAACAAACTTTCTTAAACCCTTATAAAGCCTTCACCTTGTCCATAGGTTTCTCTTAATGGCAATTCTAGCACATTTCTCCCTGGCTTAGGAAAGGAGCAGTTTATTCATAATTGACTCTTTAGTAATGCTGACTATATTACAGTGCCCTGATCCTCAGAAAACGATGACTAAAATATAAACTGAGTAATGTCAGACCCTTAAAAATTTGACCTAAGCCATGTCTTCTGCATATAATAGTAGGAGATGTCATAGTTTAAACCTTAAGATGGATGATGTACTAAGATTATTACTGAATTTATG